TGATTCTGCAGCTGCCTCTTCTCCCTCTCTAGTGATCAAGGAGGCCTTGGGGTAAGATAGCAGGGCCACAGGAGTAAAGCAGCCTGGAATTTCCTCCTGGAATTTCGTTGTCCTGGAAACACTGAATGGACTCTGTGAGAGAGAAACCTTTCATTTGTTAAACCACTGGAATTTGGGTATTTAGGCATAGCGTTTCTTAACCAAATCCACGCTTCAACAAATACTGCCTAAAATGGATGAATCAAGAAATAGCCACATAAGCATATTCTTTAGAATTGTGGAGATAATCGCTATAAGAATAGCTAAAAACATTCAAAGTGGTTGCCTCTGGGGAACGGGACAGAGGAGTAAGTGAGCAAGGATGGGTAGAGGGGCAGCTGTTCTCATTGTCCTGCATGACTTTTTACACTATGTAATTGTGTTACATTGGCAGAAATAAAATTTTCTTTCCTTTTATTTTTGAGAGAGGATTTCACCTGGTCGCCCAGGCTGGAGTGCAGTGGTGCGATCTCACTGCAGCCTCTGCCTCCTGGGTTCAAGTGATTCTTGTGCTTTGGCCTCCTGAGTAGCTAGGATTATGGTGCCCACCATCAAGCCTGGCTAATTTTTGAATTTTTTGTAGAGATAGGGTTTTTCCATGTTGTCCAGGCTAGTCTCCAACTCCTGAGCTCAAGCGATCTGCCTGCCTCAGCCCCTCAAAGTGCTGGGATTACAGGCATGAGCCACCACATCCGGCCAGAAATAAAATTTTCTAAAAAGCTATATACATATATATAATTTGGAAGGATCCCCAGCAAGTCGTGATAGTGGCTGTCCCTCAGGAGGGAGGACGTGCTACACAGAACATGTGAGGGACTGCTGATGTGGCCAGACACGGGAGGGCACTGTGGGAAAGGAGGCTACCCAGATGGAAATCCAGTCCAGGGAGCTGTTTGTTTTTAGACATGGGGTGTTGCTCTGTTCCCCAGACTGGAGCGCAGTGGTATTTTCAGAGCTCACTGCAACCTCAAACTCCCAGGATCAAGTGATCCTCTTTCCTCAGCCTCCTGAGTAGCTGGGTCTACAGGCACACTCCACCATGCTCAGCTAATTTTTTTTTTTTTTAAGAGACGGTGCCTTGCTGTGTTGCCCAGGCTGGTCTCAAACTCCTGGGCTCAAGCAGTCCTCGACCTCAGCCTCCCAAAGTGTTAGGATTACAGGCGTGAGCCACCATACCTGGCCAAATCTCCCTTTTAGAGTGAGCCGACAACTTACATGGGTGATGAATTGTGGGGGAGGGAGGCTGCTGCAGTGTCCCCATGTGAGCTGGTGAGATTGGACTAAGACATCCACATCACAGATGTGTCTTGAGAGCCTGCTTTTTTTTTTTTTTTGAGACAGAGTCTCACCCTGTTACCCATGCTAGGGTGCAGTGGCACGATCTAGGCTCACTGCAACCTCCGCCTCCTGGGTTCAAGCAATTCTTCCGCCTCAGCCTCCTGAGTAGCTGGGATTACAGTCGCGTGCCACTACGCCTGGCTAATTTTTGTATTTTTAGTAGAGACAGGGTTTCACCGTGTTAGTCAGGCTGGTCTCGAACTCCTGACCTCGTGATCCACCCACCTCAGCCTCCCAAAGTGCCGGGATTACAGGTGTGAGCCACTGCACCTGACTGAGAGCCTGCTTTTTTTGCCGGGCACTGCTGGTAGGCCCAAGGATACAGCAGGGAACAAAATGGATGAAGTCTTCTGACTTCAGGGAACTTGCATGGGCGAGAGACCCAAGTGGGCAGAAAAGAAGATGAATGTAAGTCAGGAAGTGGTTTGTGCTGTAATGAAAAATGAAGCCGCTGAGGGAGCTAGAGTTGGTGGGGAGGATGGTACTTTAGATAGCGTGGTCAGGGAGGGCCTCTCTGAGGAGGTGACATTTGAATAGAGTCCTGAATTAAGTGATGGAGCAAGCATGCAAAATATGGGGGGACCAGGGTTCCAGGCAAGAGGCAAGAGCAAGTCCAGAGGCCCTGAAGTGGGGAGGTGGGAGTGGGCTTGACGTGTCCAGGGAACAGCAAAGAGGCCAGTGTGTGGCAGGGGCACATCGGTGGAGGAGAACATGCTGGGAACTGAGATCCCAAAGGTGGTCGGGGCAGCTTGCAGAACAGAGAGAATTTTGGGAAGTCGCTGGGGAATTGAGAGCAGGGGAGCGGCATGATTTGTCTTGGGGCTGGAGAAGGGAGTCTAAGATGGCCAGAAGGACGGGGTGTGGCTGTGGGTGGAGGGGAGAGAGGGGGGCCGTGAGGAGAGGAGCCTGGGGCCCTGCCTGGCAGGCAGTCAGCGCTGGGCCGCTCAGCCCGCTTGGACCAACTACAGCAGCTTCATCACCCACTTCCCAGCATCCCAGCCCCCTCTGGGAATGGAAGGATCCTTCGCAAATCAAAATAGCAGGCGAAGAACAGCCTCTAATTGTTCTGCGTAAGAGCAGAGAAATTAGACGAGTCAGCTGTGGGGTTGAGACCGCCTCCCACACAGCTGTGATCCCACACCCCACTGAAGACACTTCCTGAGACTTGCAATTCTGCTGTCTCCGAGCAAAACTTTTTCGTTCTCCAGCCCCAGAGCAAATAGCAGCTATTTGGGAGGGAGTAGGACAGATGCTGCCCTGGAGGACAATCAGTGAGTCAATTTCTTTCAACCAAAAATACCAGTCACTTCATACAGGAACAGCCTTAGCTGATGCGAGTTTATTCCACCATTCGAAAACACTGAGTGCCTCATCCTAGGTGTCCAGGGCTGGGCATGGGATCAGAGAGATTCTAAAGGAATGGAGGCACACAGTATGGGACCACCCCTGGGGTGGAGGAAAGAAGGAGTGCGGGAGTCAGGAAGTCTCAGTTCTCGCCTCGGCTCTGCCACTGTTGCTGTGTGACCTTAGATGAGTCATGCTGCCTCTCTGGGCTTCAGTCTCCCCATCTCTCCCACATGGAGGCTTTAGGCTACGTAGTAATTCTCAGACTTCAGAGTTCATAAGAATCACTTGGGGTGAGGAGGTGCTTCTTAAAGATGAAGATTCCCAGGCCCCAGTTCCAGAAATGAAGATTGATCAGATCTGAGGTGCAGTTCAGGACCCTGCATTTCTTCCAGGCTCTTCCGGTAATTCTGAAGTGAGCCCTCGGGCCACGCTTTAATAAAATCACTTCCCCTTAATGTGTCTCTCTTCCTGCTCTGGAATTCGAGGAGTCACTCGTGTAACCCTCCTCCGGGTATCTCAGATCACCCCAGAGGCATGAGAGTGCTGTCATGTCGCCCTGCCTCGGGGTGCCCGTGTGTTGCTGTGGTGGTGACACTGCATTTGGGAAGGTCTTGCTCAGTGTATGCAGTCTCCTCTGGGCTACCTGGTGCCCCGCCCAGGCCCTGGTACAGAAGGGGCCATGGCTGTAAGCGTTGGCCAAACAGGGTCAACTGCAGTGTAGATAGCTGTGCAGGGCAGAGAGCATGGTGGGATAACGGGAGTGCTGGGTGCAGAGTTTGGCTGCAGACATCTGCCCTGGACCCCTGGGCTCATGCCCTGGGTTGGACGTGTGACCCTGTCACCTGCTCCGCTTCCCGACACCACTGTGGATGGGAAGAGGGATGCACTGTGGCTTCTGCAAAGAGGTGAGTCCAGTTACATGGAGATGAGGAGGCCTGGATGGAGCCGCAGGAAGGACTGGGGGCTCCGGTCTACCACAGAGGACACCCAGGGGGCCTCAGGCCCCAGCCAATCTACTAGGCAGTGTCCCTTCCTCAGAGTTGACCAATCATACTCCCCAAAGGCCAGGTCAGTGCCAGGAGCTAGAGAATCAAGTCACTCTGGTCTAGCCCCCAGTTCCATTCTTCACCTGTGAAGAAAAAGAACAGTGATTGTGTCCAGAGTGCTCTCCATGTATCAGGCTTGGGGCTAAGTGCTGTGTTAGCCTATTAAATTTTCACAGCCATCCTAAGAGATTGCTACAAACATCACCCCTCTTTTTACAGTTATGAATGTAGAGCGTTAGACAGCTCAAGTTTCTCAGCGTCACTCAGCTAATATAATAAATAGTAAGAGGCAGGAATAGAACCCAGATCCGCTTTCTGCTGGAGCCCAGTTTTATTTTTAAACATATTGCTTAGTACCTCTTAGAAGATAAGGATTTTTCTTTTTCTTTTATTTACTTATTTATTTTTGAGACAGTGTCATGCTCTGTCATCCACTCTGGAGTACAGCGGCACGATCTCAGTTCGCTGCACCCTCTGCCTCCTGGGCTCAAGCGACCCTCCCACCTCAGTCTCCCAAGTGATGGGACTATAGGCACGCACCATCATGCCTGGCTAAATTTTTTTTTTTTTTTTTTTAGTAGAGATGGGGTTTCACTGTGTTGCCCAGGGTGGTTTTGAACTCCTAGGCTCAAGCAATCCACCTGCCTTGGCCTCCCAAAGTGCTGGGATTACAGGCGTGAGCCACTGCGCCTGGCCTAGGATTTTTCTTAAAACAACTTCTGCCAAAGTTATTCACAACCAGAGAAATCCTTTTGCTTCTGTTGTAGTGGAAAGGAGCGATGCCAGATCAGATAGTGCAAGGTTCTAGTCCCACCTTTGCCCCGACCCTTTTTTTTTTTGAGACAGAGTTTCGCTGTTGTCACCCAGGCTAAAGTGCGATGGTGCAATCTCGGCTCACTGCAACTTCCGCCTCCCAGGTTCAAGCAATTCTCCTGCCTCAGCCTCCCGAGTAGCTGAAACTACAGGAGCACGCCACCACACCCAGCTAATTTTTGTATTTTTAGTAGAGACGGGATTTCATCATGTTAGCCAGGCTGGTCTTGAACTCTTGACCTCAGGTGATTCACCTGCCTTGACCTCCAAAAGTGCTGGGATTACAGGCGTGAGCCACCGCGTCCAGCCTCCCCTGACCTTTTGCATGACCTTGGGAAAGCTACTTCCCCTCCCTGAGTTTCATGTGAAACTGAAATCTGTGAAATGGGATTAATTACACATGCATTTCCTTCTAAGGTACACTAAGATGAAGACGGCCACCAACATCTACATCTTCAACCTGGCCTTGGCTGATGCGCTGGCCACCAGCACGCTGCCTTTCCAGAGTGCCAAGTACCTGATGAAGACGTGGCCCTTCGGCGAGCTGCTCTGCAAGGCTGTGCTCTCCATCGACTACTACAATATGTTCACCAGCATCTTCACGCTCACCATGATGAGTGTCGACCGCTACATCGCTGTCTGCCACCCTGTCAAGGCCCTGGACTTCCGCACGCCTGCCAAGGCCAAGCTGATCAACATCTGTATCTGGGTCCTGGCCTCAGGCATTGGCGTGCCCATCATGGTCATGGCTGTGACCCGTCCCCGGGGTGAGTGAGTAAATGCACTGTGGCACAGGTTACTGACCACAGGAGGCAGTACATGGCCCTTTGTGGGCTTGCAGGGCACTTACCAGGGTGAGTGTAGGTGGCTCACCAGCAGAGGTTGGATTCTGATCAAGATCAATGATGGTGTGGTGTCTGGCCAGTGGGAGTGTAGAAGGTCAACCAATGGGAATGGGAAAAGCTGGCCAGTGGAAGACACAGATGGTTGAATACTGTGAAGATGAATGACTGATCAGTGGTCTTATGGGTTACTGGCCAAAGGGAATGTATGAATTTATGAAGGGGATTATGGATGGCTGGTTATGTACACGTAGGTGGCTGGCCAGGGATGTGTGGATGACTGATCTATAGAGAGATGGATGGATGTCCAATGAGGTAAGGGTGTCACTGACTAGTGAGCAGTGGAGGCCGCAAGTTCTGTGTTGCCATTTTAAACTCCCTTTCATCCTAATTTGAAAACCATTAGCCTGGATGACCAAAGCAAGGCCTAGAGAATGGCCTGCAGGGAATGACTAATAGGAGCTAAAATGGTAGTTATTATAGTACTTGCCTGCATTAGGGGAGCTGCAATAACATTCTCCAAAGCTCAAGGGCTTGACACAGTAGAGGTTTCTCTCTTGCTCCCATCACAATCCAGTGTGAGTAGGAGGAGCACAGTCATTCAAGGACCCAGCCTCCTGTTGATGGCTTCAGAATCTTCTACTGCTGGCATATGGCCGGCAGATGAATATGGAGAGGGAGCGGGGAGAAAGCACAGCCACTTTAAATGTTGACTGGGTGCAGTGGCTCATGCCTGTAATCCCAGCATTTTGGGAGGCCAAGGCGGGTGAATCACTTGAGGTCAGGAGTTCCAGACCAGCCTGGCCAACACGGTGAAACCCTATCTCTACTAAAAATATAAAAATTGGCGCGGTGGCTCACGCCTGTAATCCCAGCACTTTGGGAGGCCAAGGCAGGCGGATCACGAGGTCAGGAGATCGAGACCATCCTGGCTAACATGGTGAAACCCCATCTCTACTAAAAATACAAAAAATTAGCCAGGCGTGGTGGCAGTCGCCTGTAGTCCCAGCTACTTGGGAGGCTGAGGCAGGAGAATGGTGTGAACCTGGGATGCGGAGTTTGCAGTGAGCCGAGATTGTGCCACTGCACTCCAACCTGGGTGACAGAGCGAGACTCTGTCTTAAAAAAAAAAAAAAAAAAAATTAGCCAGGCCTGGTGGCAGGTGCCTGTAGTCCCAGCTCTTTGGGAGGCTGAGGCAGGAGAATCACTTGAACCCGGGAGGCAGAAGTTGCAGTAAGCTGAGATCGTGCCACTGCACTCCCCCTGGGCGACAGAACGAGACTTGTCTAAAAAAAAAAAAAATTATGGCCCATCTCTTCCTAGTGACAGCTGGTCACATGGCCCCACCTTAATGCAAGGAAGTTTATTGTTTAGAAGGGCACCACAGACACAGGAACTAACCTCTCTGAGTCACACTATAGCATGAGATGTTGAGAAAAAAGAGATGATATGTGTAGAATACTTAGGACAAGTCCTGGCTCATCGCCAAGGCCCAATGAATAGCCGCTATTAAATGATTAAGCCTGTGAGACAGACAAGGTAGGGACTCCTACCTCCATTTGGCTGTAGGAAAACAGAGTCAGAGAGGTCAGGTGGTTTACTTAGGGTCACACAGCCAGGCATTTTGTGGAATTTGGCCTGCAACCTAGGGTTCCTGCCTCCAGGTCTGTTGCTCCTTCTAGTCCCTTGGGTGGAAGTTTGCAGAGGGTCGTTGCTGTGGTTGGGAGAGAACAAGCTTCTTGGTTACCCTTGACCCTCACAAGGGCAGAGCCCCTGGTGCCCTTTTACGGCCTATGAGTCATTGGTCTTGACTCAGCAGCAGAGCCCCATTCCTCACTGTCAGCCTTCAGTTTACAGACCATTAATTGCATCCCTGCTGGGGCTGGACCAGATGGGCCTCCTCACTCCACAATCCCTCACACACACACTTTCCCAGTGTGTGCCATCAGCACTTATTGGACCTGTGGGCCACTTGCTGTGTGATCTTGAACAAGTGCTGTTCTGGTTCCTATACAATGAAGGTGTTGGACTCAGCTCTTTCTAGGGGTCCTGCCAGCCTGATGTCCTGTGGACCCACTCTGTCTGTGGATCCCCAGCCCCTTCTCACCTCTTAGCCTCAAGTCCATTGTGTGGCTTCTTAAATCCTAGCATTCCAAGACATCCTGGGAGTGCCCTGGGCCAGCCTCAAGGCTGTATCAGAATCCCACAACACCCTCTAAGGTGTTCATCCAGCCCAAGCCCACACTCCAGGAATGGGGAGCTCATTTCATCCTGGGCACCCTTCCTATCTCAAGAAGGAAGTCCTTGAGTTAAGCTGAAATCTGCTTTCCTCCGAGAAGGAAGGAAGGAAGTTTCGTTTTGCTTTTGTTGTTTTGAGACAGGGTCTCACTCTGTCACCCAGGCTGGAGTGCAGCGACACTGTCCCAGCTTACTGCAGCCTCAACCTCCAGGGCTCAAGTGATCCTCCCACCTCAGCCCCCCAAGTGGCTGGGACTACAGATGTGCACCACCATACCCAGCTAATGTTTGTTTTTTGTTTTTTGTTTTTTTTTTTTGTAGAGATGGGGTTTCGCCATGTTGCCCAGGCTGGTCTCGAGCTCCTGGACTTAAGCAGTCCACCTGCCTCAGCCTCCCAAAGTGCTGGAATTACAGGCGTGAACCCCACGCCTGGCCAGGAGGTTCTTGCAATTAAGCTGAGACCTGCTTCCCTCTGGGGAGGCTGACCCTATCTTTGAGTCCTGGACTCCCACACATATGTGCCCCTCTTCCCTGTGGGTACACCAAGAGCTTGAACCCCACTGTGCTAAATGCGTTAGGTGCCTTAGCCTATTTAATCCTCACAACAGTCCTGGAGATGTGGGTACTGTCATTAGCCCCACTCCAGTGAAGCTCCAAGAGGTTTAGTAATTTCCTTACACTGTGTAGTAGGGCCTGAGTCCTGCTCCTAACTCATATTGTCTGTCTTAGAAGTCCTGTTCCCAGTGGAGCTAGTTTGGAAATGGGTCAGGGTGTTTTGAGTTACTGCAATGACTGGCATTCAGTGGGCTGAGCTAAATGATTTCATTACTGCCACCCATGGGCACAAAGGCTGATAAAAGGGCCAGGAGAGAATATAGGGGACCTCCCAGATGAGGGCCAATCCTACTGGGTCTTTTAGGATGACTAAGAGTTCACCAAGTACAGAATCTGAGGAGGACATTCCAGACAGAAGAATCCCCTTGAACAAAGGCTGGGAGGAGGTGGTGGGACTTGCCCAAGCCTTGGAAGGGTGGGTGAGCAGGTGGGGGCCCCTTAGGCACACAGGCTCCTCACCCCGTCTGTCTTTCCTTGTTTCCGCGGCCCAGATGGGGCGGTGGTGTGCATGCTCCAGTTCCCCAGCCCCAGCTGGTACTGGGACACGGTGACCAAGATCTGCGTGTTCCTCTTCGCCTTCGTGGTGCCCATCCTCATCATCACCGTGTGCTACGGCCTCATGCTGCTGCGCCTGCGCAGTGTGCGCCTGCTGTCGGGCTCCAAGGAGAAGGACCGCAGCCTACGGCGCATCACGCGGATGGTGCTGGTGGTGGTGGGCGCCTTCGTGGTGTGTTGGGCGCCCATCCACATATTCGTCATCGTCTGGACGCTGGTGGATATCGACCGGCGCGACCCGCTGGTGGTGGCCGCGCTGCACCTGTGCATCGCTCTGGGCTACGCCAATAGCAGTCTCAACCCCGTGCTCTACGCCTTCCTTGACGAGAACTTCAAGCGCTGCTTCCGCCAGCTCTGCCGCAAGCCCTGTGGCCGCCCGGACCCCAGCAGCTTCAGCCGCGCTCGCGAAGCCACGGCCCGCGAGCGGGTCACCGCCTGCACCCCGTCCGACGGTCCCGGCGGTGGCGCCGCCGCCTGACCAGGCCGTCCGGCCCCCAGCACGCTCCTCCCTAGTGACCCGGCGGCCACATGAGTCCCAGTGGGAGGCGCGAGCCATGATGTGGAATGGGGCAGTAGAAGGTCGGAGGCTTGGGATCGCCAGATGGGGCCTGTGTTTTGGAGACGAGGCCGGGCCGCGAGATGGGCATGGGGTGGGCCTCTGGTTTGGGGCGAGGCCGAGGGCAGATCAATAGCGCGGGGCCTCTGGACTGGGTGCCCCGTCCACGGCTCTAGGTGGGGCGGGAATGCCAGTGACTCCAGGGGAGGAGCTGGACCTGTGGCTCTGGAACTGAGTCCCTAAACAGGGGTTCTCCAGGGAGGCGGGGCTTCATCCTTGAGACAGCCTCGGTTTCTAGCTTGGAGCCGGACTGTTGGAGTTGGGCGTCCGGGCCCAGGACCCAGGAGGGGCAGTGGTGGGGTCAGTTGCTTGAAAACTGAGCTGCAAGACTGGGTCTCTGTGTAGTAGGGAGGAGCCTCCTGTGAGGGGAGACCCAGAGACAGGACAGCCGGGTGTGGCCACAGCTCAAGATTTGGTCACTAGAGAGGGGGCCTGTGCAAAGGACCTGTGGCCTCAATTTCGGATACAGTCCCAGCCCCGAGTTCTAGCAAGGGGCAAGGCTCGCTGAGGTCCAGGTCCAACTTGACACCTCTATAAATAGAATATAAAAGACTGAGGGGCCAGGCGTGGTGGCTCAAGCTTGTAATCCCAGCACTTTGGGAGGCTGAGGCAGGTGGATGAGCATGAGCCCAGGAGTTTGAGACTAGTCTGGGCAACGTGAGAGACCCTGTCTCTACAAAAAATACAAAATTAGCCAGGCAGCTCTGCACCTGCAGACCCAGCTCCTTGGAAGGTGAGAGGATCGCTTGATCCCAGGAGTTTGAAGCTGCAGTGAGCTATGGTGGTGCCACTGCACTCCAGCCTGGGGGACAGAGCAAGACCCTGTCTCTAAAAAAAGAGAGAGGGAGAATGAGGGAGGAAGAGATAGGAAAAGAGAGAAACAATATACCTTTTCTCTCTTTGACAGTCGTGTATTTCCTTGGAACGGGCAGGAATGCCTCAGAATCGAAGTGGCCACAGTGGGGCTTGGGACAGGACAGCAGAGCAGGGGGCAGCTGCTCCAGGATAGGGTAATAAGACAGGACCTTGGTTGGGGTAGGGTCCCCAGACCTGAGTACTAATGGGAGCCCAGAGGCTTGGGAAGGAGAAGGCTTCCAAAACCATCTCGAAAACTCAGGCCCGGAGTGGACCTCTGTGGCAAGGAGTGGTGGTGGGTGGGTGGAGGAAGAGAGGCGGGCTCCTGCTTCAAGGTTAGGTCTTCCAGTGGAAGGTGGATGCTTTTTGTGGGTCCTCAGGGCCCTAGTTTCTCTGGCCCAGATACTGGAGGACAGAGGACCACCTACTTAGATCCTGTGAATGGTAAGTGGTGCCTGGGACTCTTGGGGGTGGGGGGTGGAGTATGAGAAGCATCAGTTCGCACTTGATGCTGGGTCCTGGGCCCCTGATAAGAACCTGGATGAAATCCTCTTCCATTCTCCCAACATCTGGCTGCACCCATGTGTCTGGTGTCAGTGACTCCAGTGAACTGGAACTGCCCATATGGGGACCTGACCTTGAAGGAACTGGGGGGAGAAGCTTTTGTAACTGCAATGCCGACATCAGTGTGCGTCCCCCTCTGCCTTTCCCCTCAGCAAGCTCCCCAGGTTCCCCACCTGCTCCAGCCTAGCTGCCCCCTTCATGCTGCTGAGAGTGGCATCCACCTGGAGTTGGGTGTAGAAGTTTCTCTCTTCATTGGTTTGGCATTTTATTCAGGCACTCCTGGATCTTTGCTTCCCAGAATATCAGTGTCTGTCCTTGTTCCCTGTACCTCCCCCGTGCCTCATCTCCTCTCCCCCCACTGCTCTCCCCTCCCTCACCAACACTGCCTCAGTAATGCACCCCTGACTCCCTATTGAAGCAGTGTGCTGACATCCTTGTAAAAACAAATTTAATTTTCTTCCTTTTTTGGGACAGATGGAAAGAAATTGACGTCTTTGTCTCAAACAAAAGAAAAAAGAAAAAGAAACAATATACTTCTTTTCCTTTTGACAACCATGTCTTTGGAACAAAAGCTGGGAGGCTGTCACTCCAGCAGGAACTGAATAGCATGCAGGGGACTGGGGACTTAGGCACCAAGAGGGGCTTTGGGCACATTAGGGGGAAGGGATGCCCTTGGAGGGCAAAGCACAGCCCCCTTCTCAGGGTGAGGCTCCCAGCAACCCTAGACCCGGGGATGTGCCTCCTTTGGGAAATGGCTTCCCCGGGTCCTGGAAAGATGTGGGGCCGTGCCCAGCACTCACATCCAGCCTGCCAAGCCACTGTGACCTGGGATCCCAAGCCACCTAGATCACTCTCACTACCCTGTGACCACAGAGACCCCTGTGTCTGAGGGTGGGAGGTCATCAGCATGGCAGGAGACACTTCTCCTCGTCAGGGGCTCCTCCTGTGAATGCTTTGGGGGTACGGCAGAAAAAGGGGACAATCTAGGAACTGGGGAAGACTCCTGAAAGAGGTGACACTGGAGTCAGGCTGTTTACTCTCCCTGCAGGGACTGTGTCCACTCCCAGGATAGGCCTGTTTCAAGGCTGCCTGAAGCCCACTCACTGCCATCTCCTGTGTCTGTAACAGATCTGGCTGGATTTTGCCCCTTCTGATACATAAATCTGTCCTGGGGTCAGCAGGGCCCGGGTCCAGACCACGTGTGTTTAAGGTAGTGCCAACTTGTATTGAAATCTACTTCATGCCAGGCATGCACTCTGGGCGTCAGGACTTGGAAATGAGTCAGCCTCGGCCCTGCCCTCAGAAAGCCTGAGCCAGTGCTGGGACATAAAGCATCAACAGATGATTGCACCTCAGTGTGATAAGTGCAGTGACAGGGAGTCCTAGGGAGGGTGTCATGGGGAAGTGCCTTTTCTAGCTTTTCACTGAAACACATGTTCGTAGCAATTCTGTAAGAGGAGGAAGAGGGTCGGGGGCCCTGAAGGATGAATAGGAGTTGGCCACCAAGAAGAGGAAATCGCGTGTGTGGACACGTGGGGATGTTTAAATGCTTGGTAAACCCAATAAGTTGGGTGCAGCTAGAGCATGGGGCTTAACTGAACTCTTCTGTGTGCCAGGCTCTCTGCCAAGTGCCTTGTGTGCATCAGGCACTTGTGTGCATCCTGATCCTCAGGACAGCCTGGTGAGGAAGTAGTGTTATCCCCATTGAGGACAAAGAGAGCCAAGGCTGAGAGGTCAGGCTACTTGCTCCTAAGTCACAGGGCCTGTTCATAGTGGCAGAACTTGGGTCCCTGGAATTCCAGGGTCCATGTTTCCAGTTAATTCCAGGCATCAGTGAAGTAGAAAGGCCTTAGAAGCTGGAACCCCAGAATGAGGTTTTTGAAGACCTAAAACCAAGTGGAAAACTCTAAAGGAAACGGGCAATTTCCCATGAACTTTTGTTCCTCCTGAAGCTCTCCAAATCTTCACGTTTCAGAATGTACTGTGCATGGTGCATTTTAAAGCTCTAAATTGACAGTGTAATTCTAGATCGTCACAGGGTTCTCAAAACTGCAGAGTACGTCTGTTTCCCCCAAAATTTCCATTTCTCTCCCTCCAGGAGGAGGGAGGAAAGTTTTTGCCCCTGATTTCAAGATGTCCTACTGTTTCAGATCCCTTCTTTGTTTTTTTTTTTTTTTTTTTTTTTGAGACAGTGTCTTGCTCTGTTGCCCAGTCTGGAGTGCAAGTGCAGTGGTGCAATCATAGCTCATTGCAGTCTCAAACTCCTGGGCTCAAGTGATCCTCCTGCCTCAGCCTCCTGAGTAGCTGGGATTACAGGCACGCACCACCACAGCCCAGCTAATATTTGTATTTTTAGTAGAGACTGGGTTTCACCATGTTGGCCAAGCTGGCCTTGAACTCCTGACCTCAGGATATCTGCCCGCCTCAGCTTCCCAAAGTCCTAGGATTACAGGCGTAAGCCACCGAGCCCAGCCTTTTTTTTAAAAATAGAGACCAGAGTGTTTCTGTGTTGTCCAGACTAGTCTTGAACTTCTATCCTCAAGCAATTCTCCTGCCTCCCAAAGTACTGGGTTTACAGGTGTGAGCCACTGTGCCCAGCTCTCATACCTCGTCTCGATGCAGAAGAAGTAGTGGTTAAGGCTGGAATCAGATCTTGGCTTTCCCTCTCTGAGCCTCAGTTTCCTCATCTGTAGAGTGGACTTCCTTCATGGATGGTTGTGAGGATTTAATGTATGTATAGGATAAGGCCCAGAACATAAGTAAACTCTAAGTACATGGTAAGTGGCAGTTACTGCTTAAAAGTGGAGCCAGCGTTCAGGGTCAGAGCCAGAGACCTACAGGGAAGAGTAGGTGAGCTATCAGGGCTAGCGATGGAGAGAGAGGAGAGACTGGAGATCCGGCTTCGGGATCCTCCTGCTTCCTGGCTCAGGAGCCACCATGAAGAGTGAGAAGCTGCCAGAGAAGCAGGAGGAGGATGGGGAGAATGTGCTACCATGGAAACTGGAGGAGGAGGGCGTTCCCAGGGGGAGGGAGTGATGGATAATGTCAAGTGTCATAAGAGAGGATGGGAGTAGGGAGGGCAGGAGGGTGATGGGAACCCTCCAGTTTAGTGTTTTACATGGCCCAGGCAGTCCCCAAGCCTGGATCAAATCCCAGCTCTCAAGCTAACTGGCTGTGTGACCTAGACAAGGGATTTGCCCTCTCTGAGCTTCTGTTTCCTTCTAGAGTTGAGATGTGGGAATTGGTCCATCTCTAATATGACCATCAGTTTCACTTAATAAGAGTCCTGACTTTGCCGAATTCTTGGCCACGTGCTAGCAATGTGATCTTAGGCAAGTCACTTCACCTCCATGAGCCCTCTCTGAAAGCTAGAGAGATGGTGAGCAAAGTGCCACCAAAGTGCCTGGCGCATAGTGGGGCCTCGATACAGGATTATTCTCTGATAATTACGCGGGTGCCAGAGGCAGCTGCTCTGAGGAGGCTTGCTGGGCTTGGAATTAGAAATGCTCCTCAAGGGCCGGGTGCAGTGGCTCACGCCTGTAATCCTAGCACTTTGGGAGGCCAAGGCGGGCGGATCACGAGGTCAGGAGTTCAAGACCAGCCTGACCAACATGGTGAAACCCCGTCTCTACTAAAAACACAAAAATTAGCCGGGCATGGTCGCCCACGCCTGTAATCCCAGCTACTCAGGAGGCTGAGGCAGGAGAATCGCTTGAACCCAGGAGGCGGAGCTTGCAGTGAGCCGAGATCACGCCACTTGCACTCCAGTCTGGGCAACAGAGTGAGACTCTGTCTAAAAAAATAATAATAAAATAAAAGAAATGCTCCTCAGGTTGGAGAGGGCCCACTAGCACCCTGAGAGGACTTGGAAGAACAACAGTCCAGGCTGGGCGCCTGCTGGGTCTCTGTCCAAAGGTCAGCCCTCTCTTTGTGTCAGCAGCAGATTCCTCGCCTAAGGCATGACTACTGGCTGCCAGCTCCCTCTAGCACCTGCTGCAGATCCAGACTGGAGCCGGTCCCCAGAGGCCCAAAGCCCCTAGGAAGTGACCACCCCCGTCCCTGGCACCCAGATCCTGGCCCCTGCACTCACACACAAAACACGTACACATGCCTCTCTTTCATCATGTATTTATTCCTTTATTTCACTGCTGGGCCGCACACTAGAAGGAGTGCTGGAAGCTGGGAG